GTCGACGTAATCGTGACTAGTCGACTAATCGTGGCAGCCCTAATGCTAAGTACTTGCTCATAGTTGATCGTCTGAGTGTTCAGGTTTTCCCTGGAGTATTGTAGGATCTTTACCCTACAATAGACGAGGAACAATTTCATAAATGTGCCTTGTGTGAACTGAATAATGTGCAGAAAATAGCCTCTAACCACTCTCAGTCATTCTTCTTGTGATTTGATTGTGAGAAAAAGTATTTTTGACCCACCATCTTAAGTGTCTGGACCATATATAAAAAATGAGAACACAAAACTGAAGCCAACATTTTCAGTTTCTAGGTGCTACCATGTTGCATTTTTGGAGTCTGCACAGTGGGGACTTGAGGTGGAGTCGTGGAAGTCTTTATGTAGCCTGGTTACTCTGTTTCCAGTTTTCAATTTAAATTCGTAATGCCTCAAAAATCCTAAAGGTTCTAACAAAAGATGACTATCAAGTAGATCATTATAGCAAATGGTCCACTTGGGAAAGTAAATCTGTTGGGCATTTTTTGACCTTCAGACAACAATTCTGATACATTTCCGGACAGAAGAGGGAAAAAACCAGCAGCTGTGCAGGCGAAGAACCAGACACGTGAGGAGGTTTGCCAACACTTCTGTTCGACGTTGTGCCTAGTCCAGCAGTTTCTCCAGCTCCCTGCACCTGCTCCACCATCTGTGCCTCCATCATGCCAAGACCAAACGCTCAGCAGTTAATGAGCATTTTGACACGATATCTCCCAGTAATAACTTACATCTTCTCAAATCAGAGAGGAGGGTTAGGCTCTTTTTTACCAGGTTTAGGTAACAGAGTAATGATACCTTGTTTCATGGTTGACATCAAATTAATGTTTTCTATACTTTCATTTAGGGTATTAAATAGTAGGTTTTTAATGGATTTTTTTTAATTTGAGGTTAAACAAATTAAACTCATTGAATCACTGAGATCTGTTGACTGTTAATGAACCATGTATAATGCAAAAGTGCACCTTCGTCTTCATCTTTGTTGCTTCCTGCATCTGAGACCACAGAGCTTCTCTGGCTTGTTTATCTGCCATGGGAAGTCAAAGGAGCTTGCAAAGAAAAGCGTCTGGACTTCTTTAAGTTACTTGAAGACGTTTCACCTCTCATCCGAGAGGCTTCTTCAGTTCTAAGGTCAAATGGTGGAGAGTCCCAGA